AATTGCTCATGTAACGGAGTTAAAAATGTGTAGACATAATTATTAGTTATAAATTACGATTTATAATAGGTTGTGAATTTTATTTTTATGAGATTGTTTCCTTTTGATGTTTTTGAGTTATGTTTCTGGTGGGAACACTTTCCCGTTGCACATCTTTTTCTATTTCCTGTATGTCATTTCCGCTTTCCCCTCACATTGAAGTGAGTGCTGCGGAGGGTAAGCTGTGCTGGGAGAGGTGTTACAAATCATTGCGGTTTTGTGTGATGGACCGGGGCCCTTTCTCATGTCATCAAATGTCCCATCCTCGACTCCTCGACTCCTCGGTCCTCCGGTAGTGACCCGGAAATGAATTTTAGCGCGCCATGTTGAAGGACATCTCATTTCTCGAAATGCACATCGAGGACCGAGCATCGAGCGTCGAGGAGGCTCTCTGGAGGAGCTATAACCGAGGATACACTGATGGGTCCTCCACAGTCCTCCACGGCTCCTTCGTGGATGCATTTCCGGCAACAGTGATGTTTCAAAGAGTCGAGACGCACGGCCGGACTTATCTCAGCCAATGACAGCTCTGCATGCATCCCCTGGATATTATTTTATTAACTGCTTTCATCGCGACGCGATGTTTACAGTGAGAACAGCTGTGAGGTCCGTGCAGAAAGCAGAGCAGTGTGTATAATATATATCATATCACTCAGTATAACAGGCCTACTCTCTTTATTTGCTTTAGTTTAGTAGATATCTACAAACAAAGTCGATATTTTTCTAAAACCATTTAGTGCTTCACATAATAAAATACACAACGGCTGGAGCCTGATTATATGCTTTAGGTAGGAGCTGTAGGTGCGTGTGTGTGGTGTAGGTGTGTGTGTGGTACAGTGTGTGCGTAGATGCAGCGGACAGACAGGTCTCAGTTGGTTTGGTGTTCTCTGCTTACTTGTAATACTTGTAAATAAAACTTTTGGCCCGTCATTTATTTCCCTCATTGTAGCGACCAGAGAGGGGGGGGGGATACATCCAGTCTCTGATAGTGTTACGTTATTATGAGAGTGCTCTGTTTGATTCTGAAATTGTATATATTTATATAAATATATACGTGTGTGTGTGTGTGTGTGTGTGTGTGTGTGTGTGTGTGTGTCCGCATCTGTAGCCCGTTATTGTCTCATTATACCGCACTGTGAATGAATTAAAAGTAAATATATAAGTCGTCATGAACACATCTGTCCATCAGACAGAGGGCTGCTGTGCCTCCTGTCATCATTAATGGACGTCTCTTTAAAATGACCGCTCAGAGGAGAGGAGTTCTCATTTCTCTAACCGCCTGCTGCTTCCCCTCCTCTCTCCTCGGTTCCCCTCCTCGGCTCCTCCGCTCGCATCTCCTGTGGGCGGGACTAAGTCTCGAGGATAGGAGTCGAGGAGGGGAGTCGAGGAGGAACATTTGAAGACATGAGAAAGGGCCCGGCTGTTTGGGTTGATGGAAGTGATGTGTGTTGTTGAGTGTTAATTTGGGTACATTGTTGACCCGTTTTTGTTGAGTTTCCACCGTAGGAAATTGTATTTTTTTAGTGATATCTGTGGTGTGGTTTTGGTGGGAATTAGACGCGATTTGCGTCATTCTCTTTGTTTACATGTTAACCCTTCCTTTCTTTTCTTTTGTAAAGATGTGCAGCGTGGATTCAAGGAGAATATTGTTTTTGTTCTCAGGTATGTTTGTATTTGTATTTTTGTGTGATTACTTAATAAGATTTTCTTGTTCATTTAATAATTTCTTAATCTCTAAATAAACTAGTATGTATGAATGGACATTGAAGTGAGTGCTGCGGAGGATGTGCAGCGTGGATTCAAGGAGAATATTGTTTTTGTTCTCAGTCCTCAGAATAAATGCCAGAAAACACCCCAGATGCTTCGCTGTTGTTTCTTGAAGGATAACAGGTCGCTTACAGTTGTGATCTGTTACACTCACACAGCTCAGATGGAACTGGAGTTACAGACCGTGATGTTTGAATCTGCAGGAGCGCAGTGATCAGTGGGAACCGGGCTGAGTGGGTTTCTTTTAGGTGGAAATTGGGAGCAGGGGATTGATCAGCTGGTCTGTGGCTCTCTTTATCTACTGGTTTAGTCTAGTTGCCGGCTTTGTGAACCTGGAAATGTTGAGAACCCCAAAGTTGAATTTTAGAAATGTATAGTATACGGGTCCCCAGCACATAGAAACTGCCGGATGCTAACTTGCATATGTTGGGCAATTTGCACAATAAGCACTTTTAACCAGAAGGTGGCCATAGTTCTACTCCTGGTGGGCTGATTTAGATTAACTTGACATCAATGTGGAGGTTAAAGGGGATGCTGGATCGGTTGCAATGGACTGATAGTAAAGGTTAACTTAAACAGGTTTAAAGTTTAAGGATATTTCTGACTACAAATATCCAAACAATGCAGAAAATGTACATTGAAAATTGGATAATTGAGGTAACAAAGGCAAGTATACCAAATCAGAGAGGTCTTATTCAGCTCAAGTTCAGGTTGACCTACTGTGACATGTTTCTAGTAGAATAGGGCCTCTTTAAATAATATGATATTGCTATGCTCCAAAAAGGGAGTAGAAATGATAAAACTGATAAACAGGTCAAACAAATGAGTCCCAGAATAGGTTTTAGAACGTTTTTTTGAAAAAAAAGTGATAGAGAATTTAGAAATCAAGTCAGAAATTTTGAAAAAAAAATGAAAAGAGTGAGGATTTTGAAAGAAAACTGAGAATTTTGAAATTAAGCCAGAATTTGGATAAATAATTGATATTTTTCCGAATAAAGTAAGAATATTGAAAGAAAGTCAAAAGTCTTCGACATTTGGAAGAAAAATTTGAATTTCGAATAGAAAAATGTTTTGTATACTGATTACCCTCTATATCAGTGGTTGCCAAGTGTGGTGCGGGTAGATCGCGGACCGGTAAAAAAAAAAGTAACAAAAGAAATTAAAATAAAATAATAATAATAATGTTTGAAAAATAAGTTTTTAGATGTAAACCTATCATCCACCACCCCGTTTGCAGGTGCCACTTGATTGACGTATATTTTAGACACCTCAATAATATAATACATTAACCGTGCTTTACGTGAACCTCATCATGACACAAGAGAGGACGGCAGGACTGCAATTTCCCGTGTTCAGTGAATGCAACAGAGGCAAGACACCAGACCAATCAGAGAGCTGCATGGAAATACACGTGTGCTTGTGTCATTCAAGCTCGGCTCTGTGTGTGTGTGGCAATAGCGCATTTAGTGTGAGGGAGAGAGAGGGACCGGTGCCAGCGGGGACCGTGATGTTAGCATCTGGTTAGCTAGCTGCACTTCGGCCGGACCGCCAACAGGAGACGGGGAGCTGGAGTCGGCCGGTACGCCGACAGGACACGGGGGGCTGGCGTCGGTCGGAGAGCCAACAGGAGACGAGGAGCTGGAGTCGGCCAGTACGCTGACAGGACACGGGGGGCTGGCGTCGGCCGGGGAGCCAGTACTGGAGCCAGAAACAAGGCTGCTGGTGCCGGAAGTGGAGCCGGGACCATGGCTGTGTGGGCCGGTACTGGAGCCGGAACCATGGCTGCTGGAGCCGGAACCATGGCTGCTGGGGCCGGTACTGGAGCTGGAACCATGACTGCGTGGGCCAGAACTGGAGCCGGAACTGGGGCCAGAACTGGAGCTGCTGGAGCACGGGCTGGAATCTTGGCCTTGCGTCTCTTATGCCGCAGTTCCACTACACGGTCGCCCTCGGCCACGCTCGGTACGGCTCGGTACGGCTTGGCCTTAACAGGGCCGACTCACTTCATAATGCTGCGCTTCCATTACAGTTTAGGAACTGGGGTAGTTACTATAGTAACGCAGTGTAGGCGGAGCCGTGACGTCATCTTCAGTGAGAACTCCAGAAACACAACACAGCCGTTAGCTGTTAGCACTCAGAGCTCACAGCTCCTTATATATGTTCAGAAACTCGACAAAAGTTAAACAAGTACACACCACAGACTGCCTGTGTCATGGTGAATACAGTCGCTGCTTTATTTATGTCTGTATAGGCCGTTGTTGTGAGTGTGGACGGTCGGAGCATATACTGCGTTAGCTTAGCCAATCTCCACCTAGAAAAACACGCATTTTAAAAGGTTTTTCGCCTGCCGTCTGTCTGCAGACTTGACAAAGCATTAATTCATGGTTTTTACTAACCGGTATCAGTATGTTGTTACTTCGGCATCATTTTGAAACGTGTATTACAATTAAATCACGGTCAAATATGTCCATCTTGTTGTAGTTGTAGCCCCCTTGCCAGCGCTCCTCTCTCTAGTTTAGCATACTCAGCCCGACTCAGCCCTGTTTGTTGGCCTCGATAGAACCACAATTTTCTCGGGCCAGAAAAGACGTGAAAAAGTGGCCCCGGGCCGGGCCGGGCCGGGACTAGGCCTAGTGGAAGCGCAACCAAAAACGTGCACGACACGGCACGCTTAAAGCGAGCTCCGCGCTGTAGTGGAACTGCGCCATTAGAGATTTTTTGGAGGATCCGTGGACCTCCAAACGCAAGGCGGGATCCCGAGAACGTGACGTGACGTGAAGTCATGTGACCGTGCTGCAGTTCCTTTATAGCCCAACATTAGCCACCTTTAGCTTAGCGGTGGTGACGTGAAGTCATGTGACCGTGCTGTAGTTCCTTTATAGCCCAACATTAGCCACCTTTAGCTTAGCGGTGGTGACGTGAAGTCATGTGACCGTGCTGTAGCCTAGTTCCTTTATAGCCCAACATTAGCTTTCTACTTCAGAAATCCTAAAGTGGTGTTAATATGTGGAGATTATTCTGCTGAACTAAACGTGTAAGAATCATAAACGTTTGTTTGACACAGAGATTACTTCAATACTAACCTGTTATAACTAAAGCCTTGAGGTTTAGTTCTCACACAGAAACAAAGCAAACACATCATTTTCCAACCAGGAGAAACACTTTTGAAATCAGCTCACTCTCAGAGTTTCATGGATTATTAAAGAAGTTTTATTATTTTTTTGGTACATAGCAAATGACAGCATTTATTACAGTGATGTTGAACATCGTCATGGTTTCTGGAGGATTCTGCTGTGTTCAGAATTTAAGACGATTTGCTTCATCGTAATCTCATGGAAACCAAATCGGTCAAAACTCTTCATTATAAAATCAAGTAGAATTTGTGATGCAAGATTTAAGCAAAATCATGAAAAATATTCAAATACAACATTTGTTAAAAAAAGCCACATCAAAAAACCTTAATTGGCGAAAGCTAAATTCTTCAGAAATGCAAAAAACAACTAAATCAATCAAAATTCTCATGAAGCAAAAACATTTCTCGGTTCCAAAATCACAACACTTGTTTGCGGACAATGTTAACATTTTAAGTACGAAATCATTAATTTCCTGAATTTGGGAAAATCCTAAATCACAAAAATAATCTGAATTCTTTGAAAAAAGTGAAATTCTAAAGAAATTAAAATGTTTCATAAAAGTCCAAAAAGTAATGATTACATATTATTGATCATCTTGTGAAATAAGTACAATCCTCAATAATACAAAAACAAGCACATCTTGATCACATAACAAAGCACATTACCTTTTAAAAAGGAAACTTCTACCAAATGATGTACATTTGTAATTACAACATGTTAGTATTTAATATCTTAAGAATTTGGGAATGCTCTCCAATAGGTGGAGTTCTTCAAAACAGCTAAATTACTACAACATACAGAAAATACCATCAAAAATGATATAACGTAAGAAAAATCCTGAATGATTGAAAATGATTACAAACTGAGCTCAGTACATGTGAAATAAGAACATTAAAGAAAAGTTAAAATCTTATACATTTTGGCAAATTACAAATATAATCGGATTTCTCTGAAAAAGCTTCTTTTTTTTTTACAAACAATCTCTTCAGACCAAAATCAAGCTACTATCGAGGTCTACAAATCCAACACTAGGTGGCGCTGTAACACGTTCCTCCTGTTATCTCAGGAATCACTACATTAGGTTCAAACATTGGGTATTGTAACACTGTTTTTAGAGGATATTTGAACATTAATATATGGCATTAATTGGCCAACTTAGTTCCTGAGCGGCCTGGGTTGGTGTGTCTGTGGTTTCAAACTGCACCGACTGCATTGACTTTTCATAATAAAACTAACTTGTGATGTGTTGTAAAGATCTTCATCTTCAGTGGGAACCAATGGGCTTGGAGCTGACAGGAAGTCAGGAAACATGAGGCACTGACACATTGCTGGTGACTTTCAGAGTAAAAGCTATATTTTCTAACGTTGGTTAAAAGCTATAAGAGCTGATAAACCCATGTGTGTGAGAGGAGCTCCTTGGAGCTGCTACTCTGCTCCCCGAGCTCCTTCCTCTTCAGCAGGAACACCCAGGTCATCATAATCCAGCTCAATGTCCTCCTGTCGGCTCGGCCTCCGCCCCCTGGTGGCCTGGAGAGACATGACAGCACACAGATGAGACTTCCTGCATCACTCCTGTTCAATAACACACACTGTTTCATTCAGTCAGTGGTGGAACAACAACATGTTTCAGTACCTCATCACTCAGTCAGTGGTGGAACAACAACATGTTTCAGTACCTTATCATGCAGTCAGTGGTGGAACAACAACATGTTTCAGTACCTCATCATTCAGTCAGTGGTGGAACAACAACATGTTTCAGTACCTTATCATGCAGTCAGTGGTGGAACAACAACATGTTTCAGTACCTTATCATGCAGTCAGTGGTGGAACAACAACATGTTTCAGTACCTCATCATTCAGTCAGTGGTGGAACAACAACATGTTTCAGTACCTCATCATTCAGTCAGTGGTGAAACAACAACATGTTTCAGTACCTTATCATGCAGTCAGTGGTGGAACAACAACATGTTTCCGTACCTTACAGTAGAAGTAAAGGCCGATGGTCACCAGCAGCTGAGTCAGCGGCAGGACGACGGCTCGGATGATAAAAGGTTCTGGATCTGATCGAACACATGGACAGAATCACATCAAGAGTCAGCAAACACACAGAGACCTTTCTACAGTTATATTACAATAAACTACATCTTCTTAAGATCTTCATTCAACCCCAACCCTTTTTCCTGTTCATACCAGACAGTAGGACTGTAGGGAGAAGCTGCTAGCTGTATCTGTTAAACAGTCAGTACTCATGGCAATACTCCAATGTAAACTACAGCTGACTGGAGAATGTGTGTTCTGGATTCATGTGTTCACGGTTCATTGCACTTATTGTACGTTGCTCTGGAAAGCTACATGTGATGTAAGGGTGTGACTGCTTCAGGGCTCACAGTAAAACACTCAGTCCTCACCAGCGTTCTCCTGGGGAGCATCACGCTCTGTCCTACAGTAAACTCTAGCAGCTCACCTGTGACGGTGACGGAGAGCAGACGGCTCTCAGAGGAGAAGTCCTGAGAAAAAGCAGAGACGTGATAAACACAGCTGTAGCTTCCCTGGTGGGCGGGCTCTGCAGCCGGGAACAGGAAGTGGGCAGAGTGATTGACAGCTGGCTGGGTGTAGTTGTTTGCTGAGTTGATGGAGGTGAAGTTGAGCTGAAAGGAGCCTCCTGGGTACTGAGGCTGGATGGAGCAACTGATGGTGAAGGTGGAGCCTCTGAACACCTGGAACCCCTGCTGCTGGGCCCCGGAGACCCCATACATGGAGCAGGACACAGAGATGTTGGGCTGAAACAGCTTATCTGGAGAGAGAGAGAGGAGAGAGAGAGAGAGAAAGAGAGAGAGATGGGGGATAGAGAGAGATGGGGGGAGAGAGAGAGAAAGAGAGAGATGGGAGAGAGAGATAGAGAGAGAGAGATGGGGGAGAGATAGAGTGGTAGAGAGAGAGCGAGAGCGGGTGGGTGCGGAGAGCGACCACGCGAATTGGGGGGGAGAGAGAGAGATGGTGTAGCCTTTTCGCGGTCTCCACTAAACACACCATACAGAGAGAGCGAGCAGAAGCTGTTGTGAAACACTAAGGGTTTAAAAACTCCTCCATGTTTCTCATCAGAGAGTGAAATCTAAAATCTAACTCACTCTTGCTTTCACTAACGGGCCGTCTCCACGGCAGCGTTAAAAAATCTTGAAACGCTTCTGCCCATTCACTTTGAATGGGGTGACGTCACTTTTTTTCGCTTTCGCCGAAATGCATTGTGGGCAGGCGAGCGGAGATTCTCAGGATTTTCAAGATCCAAAGTTGAACAATGTTCAACTTTTGAGGCTGAGGTGGAAGCGTCAGCCAATCAAATCCCGTGTACGCAAATCTGACAGTTCAAGCTCTAGCCAATCAAACGGCGTGTATGCTGGGAGAGAAATACCGCAGGTCATTTCCTCATATTCCAAAAAATGGAGGAGAAATTAGCGGTAGCGAATCAATCACCCGGTGCTTTATGACCAGACCTACCGGGATATAAACCGGAGGAGCCAGGCATGGAGGGAGGTGGCAGAGACAGTGGTAGGTTTTCGCCTGTTTTGGGGAGTTTATATCCAGTTTACTTCGGGCTTTTTTGCTTCGTATGTCGCGGGCGGGAGATTCATGTGATTGGTTGCTCGCAAAAAATCCTCAAGCTTCAGATACGCCCACCTCCAAGATTTTTTTAACGCTGCCGTGGAGACGGCCCGTAAGAGAAACACATGTTAGTGAGTTGCTGAGCTGCTGTACTGTTTACTCTGTTGTTCCTGCTTTTGGAGATCCACATGTTTGCCTGCCCCAGCAGCAACAATAAAAACAGTCTCTGTGAAAACCTCCTCTCAGTCTGAAGACACCGCTTTGAAGACATTACAAGAGCTTTCAGTCTGTGACAGTCCAGGTAGCAGAGAGGGATTGTCTCTTTGTCAGAGAGAGAGACACTGACTAATGTAAGAAATTAAAATCAATGTTTAATGACGTAATTTAGTTTAAACATACAGTAAGCTTAAAACTGTTTTATTTTGAAAACATTTCCGGTTAGCATTCGCCTGTGGCTAATGTTGTTGCTAAAGTTTATTTTGAAAAGCTTTACCGGAAGAAGTCTCCGGATATCAACAGTGAGCTTCACTTCCGGTTTCACGTTAACAACGATTACAGCCGTTAAAATGCATTAAATAAAAAGTCATGAATGAGTCCAGGAGGAGTGAAGGCGTGTGGAGTTATGCAATGAATACACCGTCTAAATCCTCTGTTTTATGCGATATCGGACATAGAAGACAGAGGAGGGCGGACCCCCACGTCACAGCCCCGAGAGAGGAGGAGCGAAGGAGAGATACAAGCGAGAGAACCAACGTGTTCTCGTTCTCTCTTCACCCCTGCACTGCGAGACAAACAGCTGCTCTGTCTCCGTCCCACTACACCTTCTGTTTCTTTCATTACCGCGCTACTTCATTAAAGTACCCATTTGAACCTTTTGAGAGACTCCATTAGTCTCCTTATTTTAAGCTTCTCTCCTGGATGCGAGAACAACGAATACATCTAACACTAACAAAGAGACAGATGACATGATGTCATAAACAATGTCACTGATGGGCTTACCTGAGCAGGTGAGATTCAGGAAGGAGGAAGAGAGAAGTGATGCTGCACACTCCCTCAGAGCAGATCCAGACAGAATACAGAGAGGACTGATCCACCACACAGATCTCTCTGAGGACTTCTCTCTCCGTACAGAAACAGCAGATCCACAATCGAGATCTCTGCAGAGAACACCTGCTGTCTTCAGGGTCCAGTGAGATTTATAGCCCTCCACTGGTCTCCATTCTCCCAGATGTTCCACCTCCAGGTCTCCTGCACAGCGACTCTCTCCTCCCACCATCTTAACACCACCAGGCTCTGAACAGAAACAAGAGAGTGATCAGAGAGAGAATAAAGTGAGTTTGATGAGAACAGAATGAACCAACCAATTTGTACTGTCTTAGGAAACTGTCCTATTTTAACATTGACAAAACCATGATGATCATGTTTTATCGAGTCAATTCTGTCTTTTTCACTAATGTCATGGTTTGGTAACCTGACTTTAAAGAGCAGAAACTCTCTGAGTCAGATCATAAAGTGGTCCAGCAGACTGATTGGTGAGCCACAGCTAAACCTGGAGACCCTGTACCTCAGGCAGTTACAGTGGTTAACCAGCTCCATATTAGATGATGACTCCCACCCTCTGCACTCAGAATTTAAGCTTCTTCCTTCGGGCCGGAGGTTACTTGTCCCAAGGAGTAGAACGAAGCGGTATAAAAACTGTTTTATCCCAGCAGCTATTGCACAAATTAACACATCATAGGAGCGTCACACTGATGCCTATTTTTATTTATTTATTTAACCTGTTTAGCCCTGAGCCTGTTTTTCAGGTCTCAGGCTCGAAAATGACATTCCCAGAACAAATGACCATATCTTCCCTTCTAAAAGGGTTAAATTAATAATCTTTTTTCTCAAAGTAATGATAAACCTGTGAGTTGGATGTAGAAAATTCAGAACAATATAGATGTTTTTTATTTTAAAGAAAATTCAGATTGAACATAGTAAAAAACTGTAAATTATAGTGTCCATCCAAAAATTATTTTTTACTTATAGTGAAAACTACCCTTGGATGATGGGTTAGTAGACTAAAAGCTTTAGGAATCCAAAGTACAACATATAATAAGTACCCTGTATCAAGATTGATGCAAAACAAGTGACATTTGACCTTTTTAGAGAGGTTTAGCCAAAAACACTCCACCTCTGAGGTGATTTGGGTGTAAATGTTTTTTTTTCATATCTCTGGAACCCATTGGTCGATTTTGATGGTTGACACCTCTTTCTGACCGTTAGAGCCAATAGAATCGAAGGGGGAGTCCCCCACACACACTCATTGTGAAACAAAAAGGTGGGGGCTTTGCGCATGTAATTTTGCATTAGAGTGAAGCTACACTCTAGCTCTGACATCTAGAAACGGAATAGCATGGATTATCCGTCTGATTGCTCATGGATTATCAGAAATCATTTCAAAGGGACACAGACACATTGGATTAACCTATGGATTAACTTCAGCAGCGTTTTTATCGTTTTAATGCCATTGAAGACCACTTTGGAGAGACTACAGAGCCAAGGTAACCTTGTTAGCATTTTTAGCTACCTAGCGTCACCTGTTTTGATGTCTGTTTTTGTTTATAACGTCACAAATTCGTATAATTCAGTGATAATGAGGGTACCCATCGATTCTGTGTCACCTCACGATGTGAATCGATGTCATGGATGTGGAGAAAAGGTAAATAATAAGGTTTTGTGAGTGATTTTCGGTGCAGTAATCGGTTAGCATTTTTCGCTTGTTGCTAATTCAGAGGCTCAGTATTAGCATTGTGGGTTTTCTTTTGAAAAAAAAATAAAAATGAACAGTTAGATGAGTTTCTTCCCGTTACATGGATATAAAACATTCATAGTTTATTAAATGAACATGCCCTCAGACACTGTTTCCTGCAAGATGTTGCGGCAGTGCCCCGGTACCGGGGTCTCTCGGGCTTAACAGGTTAACCTGTTTCACGCCTTCCCCCCAGTACCGGGCGGATAAACGCGTCATTTGCAGGAAACAACGTCTAAGGAATCTTAATATTGAATAAAACTATGAATGTGTTATATCCATGTAACGGGAAGAAACTCAGCTAACTGATCTTTTTAATTTTTTTTTTCAAAAAAAACCCACAATGCTAGCACTCAGCCTCTGAATTAGCCTCGATCGAAAAAACGGGACCGACAAAGGCACATAAACTCACTCAGAACTCCCTTATTACTTATCCTAGATGCACAACCAAACACTATTTTTTGGTGTCCTGGAGACACTGAATCTAACGGTGCCCACCTCAACACTCAGTGATAAACATTCGCGACGCTATCAACGAAAGCGTACATCATCACATGTGGAGCCAAGAAGCTAAACATGTAAATATGGCTTACCTTGGTCAAAAGTGGTCTTCAATGGCATTAAAACGATAAAAAAACGATGCTGCAGTTAATCCATAGGTTCATCCTATGTGTCTGTGCCTTCTTTGAAATTATTTCTGATAATCCATAAGCAATACAACTGCGTTTTAGTTTCCAAACTCCAGAAGGAGACATTCCTCCAGTTTAGTTTCGCTTTCCACACGCGAAGCGGCAACATTTTTTCTTTATAATGTGTGTCTATGTGAGTCTCCTCCTTCGATTCTATTGGCTCTAACGGTCACAAGGGTATGTCAACCAACCAGATCGAGCAAGGGGGGCCAGAGATAGGTCAAATCCACCCAAATGACCCCAGATGGCCCAGTTTTTGGCTAAATCTCTCTAAAAAGGTCAAATTTCACTTGTTTTGCATCAATCTTGATACAGGGTACTTATTATATGTTGTACTTTGGATTCCTAAAGCTTTTAGTCTACTAACCCATCATCCAAGGGTAGTTTTCACTATCTGTAAAAAATAATTTTTGGACGGACACTATAATTTACAGTTTTTTACTATGTAAAATCTGAATTTTCTTTAAAATAAAAAACATTTATATTGATTCTGACACTTCTACATCCAACTCACAGGTTTATCATTACTTTGAGAAAAGATTATTAATTTAACCCTTTTAGAAGGGAAGATATGGTCATTTGTTCTGGGAATGTCATTTTCGAGCCTGAGACCTGAAAAACAGGCTCAGAGTGGAACAGGTTAACAGGTTAATTGTGAATTTTGAATGTCCATGTTTGTACTAGTGTTTTCCCTCTTAAAATGTTTTTAAAATATTTTGAGGTTTGGTTGAGCAGGGTATACTTGTACTTTTACTAGTCCTTTTATTAGAGATGTGTCTGTTGTTTGTGTTTGTTTTTAGTGTCAGGATGGAACCCCTTGTCTTTTTCTATGCAAACAGAATCTACCTACGGGTACAAATAAATAACCTGAACCTGAACCTGAACCAATCACAGCTCCTCTCTACCTGAGCAGGTGAGGCTAACAGCTGTGCCAGGTGAGCAGGTGTTTCTCTCTGAGGCTGAGCTACAGTCCAGGAGAGCAGACTCATGGCCTCCACACTGGAACTCTTTGGTCCACATTGGAGCCTCCCCTTCTCCATAGAGCGCCCCCTGGAGGACTGAAGGAGCCCCACAGCCCAGCTGCCGGCAGACCACCTGAGCATCCTGCTGGTCAAAGTCAGCCTCACACACTGAGGACCAGGACGGGTTAGACTGGTTAGACTGGTTAGACTTCACCTCCAGTCTGCCTGAGCACAGACCAGTCCCCCCCAGCAGCCTGACAGAGTCTGCAGAGGACAGAAGATCAAACAGAGGTCAAAGACACACCATCAAAGAGATGAAACAATATTTCAGAGATTCAAACTGGACTCAGTTCCAACATGAGTTGATGATGAACAACAGAACACATGTTTATAAGAACACAGACTGCAGGTACCCTCACATCTACATCTGATACCCTCTAGCAAGTGGTCTCCATTAGTGAACCCTTTCCCTGTGTCTTCAACAACACATCCTCCTCTGCAGATCCTCTGCTCCTTCTGCTCAGGGACTCAACATCATGTTTTAAAAAAGGTTTTATTATTTCTCACCTATCTAATAGAATCTGATCCTAGAACAAAAATCCCATTAGAAAATGAATTCTAAAAGATGAAAGCCAAAGGAGCCGGACTCTGCTCTGAAGGACCTTCTCGGAGTGAAGGACGCCTCGAGGAGCCCCGGCTGAGCTGATCAAAGCTGTGTCCAGGAGGTCTTGGTGCTGTTATGGTGGAACCCAAAGAACCTGCTGCTGGAAACCAGAGGCTCAGAGAGAGGTGGAGCTGAAGCAGGAGTCCTTTCAGACTGGTTGTCCCAGGGGACTCCTGAGGCAGCAGACATACATGTCTCCATCCACACAAATATGTTTCGATGCAAACACAAATAGTTATTGTTTTAAATAAATGCAATATAAATCCACAAATATATGACTTTAAAAGTGTTAAATGTTGTGCATCAATAACATATTTGATGTAGTTACATTTCTATAAAAAAGGCTTTTGTGAGTGGATTTCTGAGACACCCTGACGCCGCTGGATTCACAAATGCATTTTTTCAAGATGGGAGTTTCTGTAGCCAATCAGATGTCTGCATCATTTAATCCAATCCCATAAGTGCGTCCCTTTCGGGCAAAATGACTGCCCTGCAGTCCCGGTAAAACTAAGGCATCAGAACGAAGCGGAAAACAATGTTAATATCACTTCTACTCTAGCTTGGAAGAACACGATATGAGGTCCATCCTAAGTCTCTGAACTTGAGTCCATGCTTCCCTCACTTGCGTCTTTTCCTCCACACGAACTTCATCTCCTCCTGGCTTCCTCCTGCTCTGACCCTCCTGGTCTCTTCATCTCTCTTTTCCTCTTCCTCTTCCTCTTCGTCCTGATCTCTTCTCAGATATGTCTTTGTGTTGTTGTTGAATCACTCCAGCTACTCTGGCCTGCAAGAGTCTACTTGTGAAAAGCACTGGTACAAATGCTTGTCTAACTTCACACGTTAGGGCCATGTAGCTGATAACTAGCATATAATAAATATAACATCAGAAAGTATTTATCAAGCGCTCACAGGCAGCTTTGTTCAGACCCAGTTTGACGGTAAAGGATGTATCCTGGTTTCATTGATCTGGCCTCATGGCTGTGAGCAGTGGCACTGCAAGACCCTCTGGGGGCCCCAGGCAGAAGAGACATGCCCCCCAACACATCCAGCATTCAGCTAACGCTCTCCTAACACCAGCTGCTCCTGAAAGTACCGTGCACTGATGCATATTCACAGAGAAACATACATTTAGCTGTCAGTGGAAATTGTAAACACTGTGTCCTAAATAAAGGATGTTAAATATAAAGTCTCTCTCATATTAAATATGACGTATGTTCTGATTTTAAACCTTGTGTATGTATTGATTACACCTGATTACCCGTAATAAACAAACAAAGCTTCTGCCACATGAATATCAAACAGGTTTTCATACAGATTGTGATGGATACTAAATGAGATGTCACACTGCCACCAGATGAATGTTCACTGACGTTTATATCATGTCTGGATTTGTTCCAGACACTTTTTAATCTCGGTTAACCCCCCATGAACTGCGGTTGCTTAAAACGACTGTCATCGATGATGTCACTGATGATGTCACAGATGGGTTTACCTGAGCAGGTGAGATTCAGGATGTAGTCAGAGAAAAATGTTTCTGCACACTCCCTCAGAGCAGATCCAGACTTAACACAGTTAGAGATGATCTTCCACACATATCTCCATGAGGACTTATTTCTCCCCACAGAAACAGCAGAGCCACAGTCGAGCTCTCTGCAGGCGACTCCTGCATCCTTCAGGGTCCTGAGAGAGTCATAGCCCTCCACTGGTCTCCATTTTCCCTGATGTTCCACCTCCAGGTCTCCTGCACAGCGAGTCTCTCCTCCCACCAGCCTAACACCAGGCTCTGGAGAGAAACAAGAGAGTCGTGTCCTTCATTGATATTAGCATATATTAATCATTAATCATTTATACTATTAATACTTCCAAGTGATAATCAGATCATTAACTCTATGGGATTAGTTTTGTATCATAAAGATAAAGCAACACTTTCTCAGAATAAAGCAAAACTATGAGTTTAAAAGAAGAAAAAACTGAGTCAAGCAAAACAAAATAAATTTCAAAAATAAAACTATAAGTTGCAAACAAATCATTTGTGTAATCATGTAAACTATAAGTCTTTTTTCTTTGTTTTAACATATCTTTTAGTTTGCAGTTCTTGTTGCTTCTTTCTCAATGATCAGACTTTTGCTCTCGCTGCAGCTCTCTCTTTTGCGCTCCCTCATTTTTTGTTTTCGATTTTGACACAAACCTCCCAGGTGGGCGGGACTTTCAGGGGTGCGTCCCCATTGGCTACTCAGTTTTTGAGTGACAGCCCACTACACCAAAGATCATACAGTGCAACTCATGCAGCAAACTCCGGAGTCCACTCGGCCACGTTTATGTCTCCTGGGGAGTTTCATGAACATATCGGACTCATCTTATGGATTGCTGTGCATTATACTTGTGTTGTGTAGTTTATACTTTATTCCAACTTAAAATATGTTAATACCTCCACACCTGAACACACTGCTGCTGTTAAATAATTTCCCAATTTAGGATTGATAAAGTGTCTGTCTGTCTATTTATTTTATAGATTAAAAAAACACATCTATGTATTTTCAAGCTAAAGGTGATACACAATGTAAACTGTATACTGTTATGTTTTCAAAGACATGTTACATTTCAAAAGCATATATTGTTATGTTTAGGACAAACAATTAAAGACTGCTTTAATTGAACAAATTCTACAATATAAAAGTGGCAGATTTGCTTTATTAAACAGACCAGACCTAGGCTGCATACCAACACAATTAGGAACATGCTCACATCTTACTATGTTGGTCTGAAGAGCTGAAGCATTCATACACAATGGATAAAAACTGTGTTGTCTCATTCTATATCCTGTGAGAAAATGATATACATTTAGCATTAACAACTCAACATACTATTCCTAGCCTGAGGAAGATATGAATAATCAACAGATTAGAATGGAATCTCTAACATTTTCATGTAGAATAAAGACAAAAGACAAATTACATTTATTGAAATTTGAACCAGAAGATGAAGTCTCAAGGAACGTTTTAAATAAAAGGACATTAAACAAAAAGGTGGATAATAATAACATCTATTAAATGTATATGTAAAGACATTTGGTCAAATGAAATGACACTGAGCCAGTGATAACAGCAACGCCCAGCGTAGATGAAGCTGGTGCAGGTCTTTCTTCTCCGTGCTGTCCCCTCAGAGGAAGTGGGAAAACGGGATAAGACCTCTGGACGCCACGCTGTCTCAATGATCCACACTGTTAATATGAGAGGAAAATAAATGTTTTAGGAAATGAAAAAAATGAAGTTAACAAATAAAACACAGCTCAGGTGCATCATGGACGGTAGGTTTTCCTACAAAGTTAACTCAGCCTCCATTGATTTTCATATCAAATTAGCGTGTTATTAAAATAAGCTATCATTTTCTCATACTGATATTCTGCACAAACTGTGCTGTTATATTTGCTGTAAAGTGTCCTTACTGTAAGGTAATTATTATATGTACAGCACTTTGGCTGGACCAAAAATCGTTTTAAAAATGTGCTATAAATAAAACCTGATTTGATTTGATTTGATTATACTTGCATATCTAAACAGAATCATGAAAGCCTGTTGGTAGAGTCAGACAGGCACACGAGTCCGTTTGAGTGTGTGCGCCGGTGTCTGAACGCTCACTCACTCACTGCTCACTTTGTAGCTAACTGTCCCTGCTATTAGGCTACTAGCTTGCATTGTTATGGATCTAAAGTTAGCAAAAGCTAACTTTCATAACACAGCTTTTCTTTACTTCTCACGTAACTAACACAATAAAGAAACAGACCGTATAGTACAGCACAAACAACACAAATGATCAATACTTACATATATTTTCACTTGTAGTATTATAATAATTGAAATGCTGGTTCTTCTGGAGGTGTTGGCGCACCGCAGCTGCCTGCACTGTACAATCGCTGGAGGACTGGGCTGTAACTCAAAAACTGAGTAGCCAATGGGGACGCACCCCTGAAAGTCCCGCCCACCTGGGAGGTTTGTGTCAGAATCTCAAACAAAAAGTGAAGGAGCGCAAAAGAGAAAGCTGCAGCGAGAGCAAAAGTCTGATCATTGAGAAAGAAGAAACAAGAACTGCAAACAAAAACCTATGTTAAAACAAAGAAAAATGACTTATAGTTTACATGATTACACAAATGATTTGTTTGCAACTTATAGTTTTATTTTTTGAAATTTATTTTATTTTGCTTGACTCAGTTTTTTTCTTCTTTTAAACTCATAGTTTTGCTTTATTCTGAGAAAGTGTTGCTTTATCTTTATGATACAAAACTAATCCCTCTCTCTATAAACCAGTGGTGGGAAGTAATAAAGTACATAAGTACAGGTTTGAATTACGTTACTGGAGTATATAGTTTTATAATACTACTACATCACATGTATTCAACAAAATGAGTTTGAGGTTACTTGGCAGGTTCATATTATTAATAAAACAACAATTTAATGATGAAGTTCTGTTATGGATAAAGATGTATAACAAGTCATTAAAGTTATCTCCACCTTTACCAGCTGATAAATTAAAAATGATGTTCACATTAATGGATCATTGATTAGAATCCTGACTATAATATATCATTATGAAAATAGTCGTACTGTATGAGTCATATTAATGATGGTACTTTAAGCATTATTTGATCCTATTACTTTTACCTAAGTAGATCTCAATACCAGACTTGTTCTTGTTACAGTATTTCTACACTGTGGTATCACTTCTTTTAATCAAGTATAACATCTCTCCCACGTCTATAAACTAATAGGACCTGAAACATGAAACATAGGATTAATTAGAACTAAAAACAGTTCAATCAGAAAGCAAAACGTAGAGATTAGTAGCATGTTTATGTGTGGCACTGTCATTTGAACCCTTTGGTGAACATGTGCAATATGGGTTTATTGGTTTTCTGTATGGAGGTAGAATTAAATATACAAAAATAAAAGCCAAGAGCATTGAATATCTATGCTGTAACATTGCAATCTCCCAACCTGACAACAATAACCAGATATGTGTTCAAAGAAATGAATAAATAACATAATGCAACCTCTGTGCAAAGCTTTAGTTCAATGAGACTACATGAACCAGCTATACAAATATTGGTCTTACTAATCAATATTATTAATAGTCATGTTAAAAATTATATATTTTAATTATTATTAATTTATTCTGATAGCAAATTCATTATATCTTTGAGCTAGTGCACCTACTTTACTGTAATGCAACCCTATTCATGAATAATGTGATTAATATTAATGATGATTATTATGTGTAAACAACCAGACTTGCTCGCAGGAGAACCCAAACATGGTTGTAACATGTGATGTTCTGATGGAGAACGCCAACATGGTTGTAACATGTGATGATCTGATGGAGAACCCCAACATGGTTGTAACATGTGATGATCTGATGAAGAACCCCAACAAGGTTGTAACATGTGATGATCTGATGGAGAACCCCAACATGGTTGTAACATGTGATGATCTGATGGAGAACCCCAACATGGTTGTAACATGTGATGATCTGATGGAGAACCCCAACATGGTTGTAACATGTGATGATCTGATGGAGAACCCCAACATGGCTGTAACATGTGATGATCTGATGGAGAACCCCAACATGGCTGTAACATGTGATGATCTGATGGAGAACCCCAACATGGCTGTAACATGTGATGATCTGATGGAGAACCCCAACATGGTTGTAACATGTGATGATCTGATGGAGAACCCCAACATGGTTGTAACATGTGATGATCTGATGGAGAACCCCAACATGGCTGTAACATGTGATGATCTGATGGAGAACCCCAACATGGCTGTAACATGTGATGATCTGATGGAGAACCCCAACATGGCTGTAACATGTGATGATCTGATGGAGAACCCCAACATGGTTGTAACATGTGATGATCTGATGGTATTTATAAAGTATAATCATGAAAAGTGGTGGTGATGAAAAGGTGATGATGGTTTGTTGTTTACCTTTGAAGTATATCCTGGTTTCACAAACATGGTAAAATCATAAATGATGAAACTGGATCAGTTAGTGGTGAAGTCTTTAAACTACATCATGTTTTATGATAAAGGTTGTTTACAGACTATAATCACTTAAAGAGTAACAGGGTGAATAAACTGAGCACTTTACCTGTTGAGGTGTGTTCTCCTTCAGCCTGGAGTCCTGAGGAGAAATCAGAAGATAAGGTCAACAGAGTTTTCTATCATCTCAGAAACACGTCAGTGAACTCACTGTGGAGTCATTTCACCAGTTTACTCTAGCTGAGAATAACACGTTCATACAGAGAAGTCACATATTCAGAGTTAAAGCAACAGTTTCAGTTTAGAGAATATGCTCCTTCAAATGATCATGGAGC